TTCACCTAATCATCTCCATTATTGCCTGATTCAGCTCACTGGTGTGCTTAAAAGCCATAGTCACATTGTAATGCAGAGCAGCATAGCCAGTCATAAAGAGAAACAGCAGCTGGAGGTACCTGCACCTACTGGCAGGTAAACAGACCAAATCAAGCTGAGCTCTGTTTAATTGATCACGGAAAGGTATTCTTACATATTGTTGTTGGCCAGTCATATTATCTTGTTTCCCCACACAGGATGAGGAGTGTTGTGAATATATGCTTGTTCGTCACAGACAGCTGACCTATTTAAGTGTTATGTCAGGCTGAAAAGATAAAGAAAGGACAGGAGACAGGGAGGGTGACAAACCGACACAGCTGCTGGTCGACGTACAATACAGTTATTAGTCATAACAGAAGATGAATAGTCAGATTCCTGTGATGATGCATTCAAAAAAGTTAAGATTTTTTGCCCACAGTCTGGGGAGGTTTGTGTTCTTACTGGGTTTTCTAACAATAGGTAAGTGTAACTTATCTCACAAAACAATGATTTAAGATGTTGTTGACTATGTGAGTGTTTATGAAAATACTCCGAGCTTTGTTTCACATTTGTCTCCAATTTAAGGATGTAGATCTGATGACTCCACCTGCACAAGTCGCAGATGTCTGGCTGAAATGCTGATAAATAAAAACATTTCATCTCAACCGCAGTACCAAAACTGCAATCATACGATATATGTGCCAGTCATTGAGTACCAAACACTGTCAGTTGTAAGTATTGGCTTTTACATTTTATGGAGGAGGTAACTGAGATCTCTCAGAACTTTTATCATTTCAATTATTAAAATGAATTGTCTTTAATTGTGCATTAATGTTTTGCTTGCTATTAATTTTAACAGAGCACAAAGCAGCTCCTCCTAACAAGTTATATGAAAGCCACACTTGTAAGTTACTTACTTTACTCTTAAATTAACAACAACAACAAAAGTGTTTCAATCACAATAATTTTGATTTCAAACCGCAGATATGGAATGACCCTGAGATGAGTTGGAACACATCAGTTTATAATTATGATGAGGTGGTTCTGCCAGCAGACAATGTCTGGACCCCAGAGCTCCAAATAGCCAATGGGTAAGTCAGTTACATGACATAAGAGCTTACAGTTATTAGCACTAACTCAATTCATGGATTTCTTGAAATTCTTTTGAAACATCTGATGTGTCTTATGTGTGTAGACTACAAACCTCTATAGAGGATGGCTCTAAGGACCTGCTGGTATACAGTAACGGCACCCTGAGGCACACTGTGTTGGTTACTACGGAGGTGGACTGTGAAGTCAACATGTTCAACTATCCCTTCGCTGATGATAGTTGTCCCGTCGCAATCGAATCATGGTCCTTTGACGGTAACCTCAGCAATTCAGTTATACAAATATTAATCCAAGGTTTACGGCAAACTGGCT